TCCCCCACCAGAAAAGTTGCGACTATATGTAGTCACTTAACTCCAACAGTCTGCTGTAAACAGTATATGAGCCCATGCCCCCTAAAAAATGTCCAACACGGAGCTACTCTGGCGCCCACGTACGTAAATAGTTTTTGCCGAGCTGCGTGTCATTGATTTGGAGCAGGGCACGATCACGTATAGACCGCCGGAAATGATTATGTTGACTCAATCAATACAGTCATTGTGATCGTGGTTCTTTGAATCATGACGTAAAAGATCCCTCTACTTATTTCCATTCCACGCTTGTCACCGACGATTAAAAATTGGAAGAATTGCGACTGAGAAATTTCAGTGACCAGTTTTCAGCCAGGTTTCAATGCAGAGCGCACATTAAAAAAGAAGCTACGGATCAATTATTTCAGCTAATACTAAAAAAAGCATACCTTATTTGATTGAGAACCTATGAATTTTGAACCAACCCACTGACCTATTCTCTTTGCTGCACCAATTTAACCTACTTTTTTGTCGTGAGCATTCATTCATGACATGATTCCATTGACTACCGTTTCGCATTTGCAATTCTTTTAGCCCATTAAGCAGTCAAAGAAAGTCATTCCTATTCATATACGTTGCACTTCATACCAAAAAAAGTCACCCATGCTGCACAAATTAGTTTTTTTTTTTTTTTTTTTTTTTTTTTGGTCAGTCTTGATAGTAATCAGTTGTACAAGAGGGAACATAGAGAGATACTTCTTCAGCGTTTCTCAAAATGTTTGCTTTAACTTTAATAATTGTTGGAACTTTTTGGCACTTGATACCATTTTGCAAATACCATGCAGCAAAATTATCCGCATTCTCGTTGCCATTTGGCAACCGTGTGCTATGAAGAGCCATCAAGTTTAGAACATAGGAGGCGTTAAATGAATTCTGAGTGAATCAATGTAAAAAGATGAGGTATATTTTACGAAGAACTCTTACAGTGATTGTGTTTTACTGATACTACAATGACAAAACGCAACCTCATACTAAATCAGCTGATCGCTATTTGTCCTGCGTGGACGATTGACCTGAACGGAGCAGAGTGTTTCCAAAAGGCAACACGTCATTTCTTGGCTATTAATAGGACGTATTTCTATCAAACGGAACTATGTGCATTAAGACTTGAACCCTGAGGCCCATAAGAATATGTGCATAACAGGGCTCACGTCATAATGCACATAGTTGTCTAATAAATGGACCGCGTTAAGCAGAAAGGAACCAAGCCACATCAGTTATTGTCAAATTTAACTTGACAGTTTAATTTTTTACATAGTATCGGTTGTGCGGATTTTAGTTTAAATTTCAGTGGAATTTCTATGTAGTGCGTAGCAAATTTTTTAAAATTTTCAAAGGAATCCGGACAAACGTGCTTTTGTAAAAAATTGAAATGCCCGGTTAAATTTGGCAACAGCAGATGTGGCTTGGTTCCTTTCTGCTAAACGCGGTCCACGCTGAGAAAATGCTATGGCTCATAAACCAATTAGTGGTTCATATGGAACACCACTGATAGTGGTGAGGGCAACATAAAATAATACCACATACACCTTAGTATTGTTCACAGATCGAGGATCATCAGGTCATTTATGACTATTGGTGGCGTTCCATTTGAGCCACTAAGTAATTAATAAAGTCATAGCTTTTTCTTCGTACAAATGTATTGCAGTCCGATTTATGAAGACTGCATGCCCAATAATAAACGAATTAATTGGAATGCATTTTGCAGTCAGGAACTACCAACTCCAGCTCACTTCAGGGACAAAGTATGTACCATTATAGTTTCCGTATGCAGATAAGTGCTTTAAAAATGAGTCAAAATTTTAAATAGATCACTTACTTGCATTCGAGCATCAAGTTCCTCTATGAAAGAACGTAGACGCGAAACGTTTTCACACATAATATTGGTCACTTCTCGCGATTTAACTATTTCTATTTGACACATTATACGTCACTAGATATTGAGTCAAACGAAAAACTAGTTGAACACAATTTTTCACGGTTAGAATTGGAATGATATTTACAATTTTGTAACATTTTTGAAGGTATAAAAATTGGAAAAAGGGTGACAAAATAAATTATTTTACAGAACGCGCCAAAACTAAAGATGTGTTTTTAAAAAGGGATCACGAACTGCAAATCAATAGCCTAAATTTTTTCAAGCAAGCCGTACCGTTCTGCTTGGTAATGTGGTAAAATTAATGTTTCGGTTGAAAGGCAACTTTCATTTGGAACTTGTTGGAACTTTCACTACACCGATGTTGTGAATATTCATTGAGATTTGTCGGTGCAACTTACAAGCCGTTTGCAAATTATCGTCGAGTGCCAGTTGCCTGTGACATGGCTGGCTGTATCTCCTGTCTGCAATGCACTTATTCTGCAGTGTTAAGGAAGAGCGCCGTACGAACATTCGAGAGTTGCCAAATTTCCTTCGATGAAAGGTTTACTTTAGAGACAAATTATGAATATTTTTCATTGAAATTTTCAGACGTTCTAGATCAAATTACGAACAAAATTATCTGAGAAATTGGTAGAAAAATGTTCAAAAATATTCCTGAAAATTAGTGATGTGACAGGGGAAATTTAGCAACACCTGGAGGCTCATACGGCGTTTTTCCTTAAAACGGCAGTATTAAGGAGGGAACGAACCTGCATGTGAAATTACGGTTTGCATTTGCACTTGATTCACCTGCCGGATGCAAGGCCAGTCAAGGTCAATGCAAAAGTACTGTCCATGCATCATCTTTTCGTCTGGAGTGGAGGAGTCTCAGGATCTGCTACCATAATTTTGGTTTGCAAATTAAATGTTTTGGCAATCGGTCCCTTTTTTATCATTTCCAAGTCATCCGTGCGTTTTGTTGTACGTCTCTGAAACGGTTTTGCGAAACAAATTGGTGATATTTGTGGATTTTGGAATTTAGAATCCAATTCAAATGGTTTTCAACCCTTGTCGTGCAATTTGTAGTGCTTTGAAGTAAATAAAATGATTTAGTCAGTTTTGGTGAGTATGGTTCATCATCCTAATACTTCCTGAAGTTTCACGGAATAATTGCACGGACTGCGTTTGACGAATAAAGGTAAAGTATATTCAAATGATTCACAATCTCTTGGAAAATATTTGAACATTGGTTCTGTGAATATTTTCCGAGTTTTTCCCGAAAATTTAATACGAGATCAAAGAAATGTAAACTGAGTAAATTTAGATTCAAAATTTAAGATTCAATAAAACCATGAATGGAAAAGCGGCTAAGCTCTGAAAATCCAAGAAAGTTTCATGCGAAACAATTGATTCTCATATATAATTAAATTAGCGGGGAAATAAGCACGAGGTTGTTGAATGATATGGACATTTCCAATTAATTGTGGAGTTACCCCAATTAATTATGGTAGCACCCCAATTAATTATGGTACTACCCCAATAAATTAGGTAACCAACCCAAATGTCGCGGTACTACCCCAACTTGAGTTGCGGTACTACCACAATTAATTAGAAATGTCCATATCATCCAAAAAAGTGGGGTAGTACCACAATTTTAGGGGATAATCCTTGACACTTTTTTTTCCGTCATACCTGACCTGATTCACCCTCAAGAGTCGCGCACACCTCACGTTGCATCTTATGATTTAATACAAAGAAACCCCCACCCTGCATAGGAGCTCACTTGAGAAAAATTTCGAACAGATCATCATCTCGTGCAGTGGTATTTGATGGAATTTCCGCCCATAGACATGGAGTATGAAACAGAGGTTGTCATTTCGGGGGTCGCTGGATCCTTTCCGGAGTGTGCTAACATCGACGAACTAGAGGAAGCCCTTTTCAGAAAGGCCCATCTCGTCACCGATGATGATCGTCTTGGTGGCATTGCGAAGCTGCATACAGGTAAAAAAAAGTTAACAGTTATTACTTAAAAATAATGTAGAAGATCAATGCTCCCCCAATTCTAACATCGGGATGATTTCGAAATGCGTGATGACACTTTTTTTATCCAGAATTCATCATACACCACCAATTTGAGGGAGGAAGGGTGACCAGACGTCATTGTTTTTAGGATTGTTCAGATTTGTGTCATACGTTCGTTTTTTGGAAGAAGGAAAGTGAAAAAAGAATTTTTAGCGTCCCATATTTGGATTGCATTTTGCAAAAAAGAATCAAAAGCATTCCGATGCTGCTAGGATTATGCAACTTACATTCTATGCACTAAAATTACTGAAATCATGCAGAAAATTCAATTTACAAATATAATATTCGTCTTGAATCTGTAATTTATTTTGAGTAAAGATAAAACATGTTTAAGTGATCAGTTAATACTTGCAAGGTAAAAACAGTTGCACAATTTTAGCGACATTGGAAAGCTCTTGGTTCCTTTTTGCAAAGTGCAATCCATTTTATAAACGGTCAAATTATTTTGATAGAGACATATTATTTGCTTTGCGTCAACGATATATTTTTCCGCCATTATCAACAGATATATAACATCCAGGACCCTCCATCTATATTTCTTAAAGGATCTCTTTCTTTGTTTTCAGGGGACTTTAAGTACTCAAAGCACAGTGGCAAAGCTTTCCCTCCTGACAAATTAGATGCAACTTTCTTTAATATTCCCTTCAGTTTCCCAAGTGTCATGGATCCGGTGATGAAGAAATGTATGGAAACTAGCGTGGAGGCGATCATTGATGCTGGTCAGTATGCTTTATTTCATCGGTTGGTCATCAATAAATACTCCGTCTGAGAGGATGGTCATCTGAGAAACGGGGGACCAAAATTCACACCCCGTATTATTATTCTTCAACACACTCAATGATAAGAGAGATGAAACACATATGGAAATGGGTTTACAAGATAAAGAAAATAGAATAAACACAACCAGGACGTTTCGGGCCAATTAGTTCCAAAAAACTTTTGGGGGTGAGTTTGCCCTAATTCCTACTTCGGTCAGTTGCATGCTCATTTCTTGTTTTAATTTTTTATTTTATAGCTTCTGTTCCAGTTGAGAACGGGTACGTAATTGACCCGCAACGTCCTGGTTGTGTTTATTATATTTTCTTAGCCTTGTAAACCCATTTGTTTTGTATTTAGTGTTTTTATCATACTCAATGATAAGGACAAAATTCAACTGTATTTCTAATGTTGAAAATAATGTTTCTTTGGCTTTGAATTTTTAATGCGAGTAAATGCATGATATATTGAATCTAAACATACTCTTAGCTTTTTTCCCCTTTGTTTATTTTTCCAAAATGCGACCTGATCAAACTCGGTCCGTTATAAAAAAGGAGCCCGACTTTTCAGAAGACCCTGAACATCATCAATACAATCAATTCGGCCTGTGAAGTTAGATGAGTGGATATTATGTTTTGGGTATTTTTGCAGGATTGAATCCACACTTACTAGAGGGAACGAACACTGCAGTTTATTCAACATACGATAACAGTGAGTCGGAGCTGGTTTTACCTTTCACACCCCGTGAGAAGGTTCTCATGGGGAACTGCAGGACTTTAACTGCCAACAGGCTTTCGTTCGCACTGAATCTCAATGGTTAGTAATGCTCGCTTCATTCTAAGGCAAGAGCCGTACCAAATATTGATTATAACCGAAGCCTTTTTAAGGCAGCTTTGATTTTTAGCTCAGGAACGAATGTCTGCAGTACTGCCGTGCAACGCAAAAACACCGTAAATGCCAATTTACATTTTTTGGAACCAAGCAGAAAAACGTTTGTACCTTGGGACAGTGTTTTTCAGCTTGGATAAATTGTTTCCAAAAAATGTAAATTGGCGTTTACAGTATTTTTGCGTTTCACGTACTCTTTTTTTCCTTTCCTTATTTTCCCCTATGACTACGTTCACTACCTGCGAAAGTACTCGAGGAACTTTTTCTTCTGAATAATGATATCACACATGAAAATACCCGAATATTGCATTCTAAATGTTCCTAATCAACGGTGTAAGTCGGCAATCACATGACTCGGTTTGCAGTCATACTTTATTTTTTAAACGGAAAACTACTCAACGGCAATTCTTTAAAACTGCCGTGATTTTTTCTTTCTGCAGAAACTTCAAGGAATGATGTCAATTTGTTCTCCTTTAAAAAAATAACATCGAGGCGGAGATTTAAAGATACCTCAAACGAGATATATGATTGCGGACCTACGCTATCGTAATGCTCAACATTACTCCTCCTAAGGGCGCGACATCTAGTCCTATCTCGGCTAGGAGGAAACCCCACAGACCCCCTTTGTTTCCCCAAATGCCCCACATTCCCTTGGCTCCCAGATTTTTCAGCCAACCCACCGCCACCGATTCTCTGAAAAGTTTTTAAAAAAAATTTCTATAATTTGTAACTTTAAATGAAGTATTATTTTTACTGCTGTAAAGTCTTAAATCACCTGGAAATATAAATGCATCGGAGTGGCGGAGCTAACTTTAATTTAAGGAGTGGCACTTTAATGCGGAATCGGTTATTCATTTTAGGTCCAAGTTATGCTTTTCAGGGCGGCTGTGGCTCTATATTTCACTATTTTGACTATGCAAAAAGGCAGCTGGAAGAACGAACAATCGACGCCGCCATTGTAGTTTGTGGCAACTGTATTATGTCTGACTGCTTTTTGGCTGTTCTAAGCGGCATGGGTCTCTCAGCATCAGATGGAAAATGCTGCTCTTTTGACGATAAAGGTACACATAGAAAAACCAAGAAACGAACATAGACTTTTCCATTTTCTAACTCAATTCCCGGTTAAATACGGACCATTTTAATTCCGAATGATGATGTAAAGTTTACAGACTTGGATAATTTTTCACCTCTACGATCCACTCGTGGATGTTGGATTTAGATAACGGTTTAAAGGCAAATCATATGCATTTCTCTTAATTCAGTTATGTTTACGAAAACTGATTCTACCAACATTGAGTAACTCAATTCAAAAAGAATTGATCAACGGTTCAAATCAAGCTTCAAACATTGAGGGTATAGTTCACTTGTAGGGAGATATTTCAGTAGTACTACTATGGTGCATTTTAGTTGTGCTTGTGCGTTGTTTACCCTTCTTATTTATGGCAGAAGACTTATTTCAGCGAAACAGTATTTCAATGTCTCGATTAATCGTGCATGTTCCTTTATTGTGACGTGCCTTTTTTTTTATTTTTACTTCGAATCGTAACAGCGTCGGCTTTGATAATTTTTATTTATAATTTCAATTTTATAGCGATATTTTTCACAATAAGCACGAGAGAAACGACACTATAGCTGGGTCTAGGCCCCATATTTAGAGTCGTATGAACACTAATGTTGACAGGATTGGCCAAAATCTAGTTAAAACCACATTGGCCACCTCTCCAGCCATGACCATGAGCCCCCATCCATTTCTTCGTGAATGTAACGATAAAGCCTTTGTTGCAACGTTGCTTTTAAAAAATGCTACTCGGAAACTCAGAAGATGCGTGGATTAAAATTGACGATGGATCAAAAGTATAAGAGAGGAATCGTGCAGCATTCTTCAAAGATGCAAAAACTCAATAAAACAGAGACGAGGCCGTGGAAGACTTGCACTTATTTGCTGACAAAATTTGATTCATTACACCGTGTGGCGTCTCAAGGCCGCCTCAATAAGTGTCTCCTCCTATTTGCTGTCTCCTATGACTGTCTAGACAGGCGCATATATGAAACTGAATGATTATAAAATTGGCCCTGCAATAATGCAATATTCATGTTGTGTAAGCGTGGAAGCGCCTCTATGGTCAATGGTTGAGGAAAAATTACTGATATGCAGTCGTGCCAAGGAAGAATGCCGTTGAAAATTCGAGAGATGCAAAATTTCCCCGGATAAAATATGTATTTTTGAGGGGAGTTATGTCTATTTTTTCTTAAAATTTTCAGATATTTTGAATTGAATTATGAACAAAATTGTCTGAAGAATTGGGAGAAAAATATTAAAAACATTTCCAACAAAATCGCATTTTATCAAAGGAAACTTGGCGACGCCTGGAGGTTCATACGGAGTTCTTCCTCAGCACGGCAGTATGAATGTGGAGTCGATTCCTCAGAACGATAATGGAAAAATTTTGTATTTCATTAAGATCGAACATAGACCTCTTGCCAATCTGCGATTCATGAACAAGGGTAAATTAGTGCTCACTTGATGCGAGGGTAAACTGCACAGGTTAAACACTTGCGCATGATTTTATATTTTGAACGTAGGATGATGTTGATTTGTTCTCCATCAAAAAAATAAAAAGGGAGAGGAAATTTTCAAACACCGCAAACAAGATACGTGGTTTGTTAGTTCCACTATGTTTATTTGTAAGATATGCTTATAGAAATAACGGAATTAATTCAATCTTTCTGCAGCCCACGGATACGCTCTGAGCGAGAGTTGCGTAGCGTTTTTCTTGCAGAGAGCCGAAGACGCCCGTCGAAACTGGGCAACGATTGTCGGAGCCGGCAACAAGTTTTTTGGCGGGAAAGAACCAGGGACCAATTTTCTCTCCTTCGATCACAAACCTGCCAAAAAGATGCTGCGGGAGATGTATATCAAATGGCGCGTGGATCCCGCCGAAGTCGAGTACGTTGAGGCTGATGGCAGTGGAGTTAAGGTGCACCCTCTCTCTCTCTGCCAATTTTTAAAAACTGTTTGATAGTCTCAGTTGGCCGTTGACTAAAAATGACACTATCTTAGATTCAGGAAAATCAATCCAAGCGTAACGTATTTTTTTCGCAGGTAGTTACTTAGCGAGATAATTATTTTTACTCGAGACATTTAACAACTTAGGCTATTAATGTCTTCACATAACTTATAAAGGGTGAAGACATATGCAAAAAACTTAGATTCTTAAGTTAATGGAATTGAGGTATTCCAAAATTATGGTTGCAACTCGAGGTTTGTATCCCTGTCGACTGTCAGAGAGAAAATCTTTGAAGGGGCCGAGTAAAATAGGAAATATGTATGAAATAATTTAAACATATAAACAATAATAAATACATGTATTGTAAGTCTGCTATAACGTTAAATTTTACAACATTTTCAACAAAATTTTAAAAAAAGAATTTAATTCATCGTTTAAAATATTTGACAGTAGCTATAAGACTTGAAAGTCTTTTAATTTTTTTTTAAAAAAGCATCTCTTTAAAATATGACCAAAAATAGCATCGAAAAAATTACAGTCAATATTTTTGAAGTAATTGTTTCAGGAAGATTTTTGAATGTTTTCTTTACCCCTCCCCCACCCCCATTCGGGATGATATAACTTCATCTGGAGCATCCTGAAAAATTTTGAAAATCTAAAAAATATTTCTGGTTTTAAAAAATTGCAGACTTGCGTGAAATAAGGAGGACTAGTCAGTCAGTTTCTGAGTTTACAAATTCGTGCATACTGTGTTCAGCTGTGAATGCTTATTCTATCACTTTCACAGGACCGCGACAGTAGAGAAATAGATCTGATCTCTGAAACCTTCTGCAAAGATCGCGACAAACCCTTGTTGATCGGGTCTCTTAAATCAAATATGGGTCACGCGGATGCTGCAGCTTGCGGCGCTGGAACGGTCAAAGCTCTCATCGCCTTGAATAAATCAAAAATACCGCCGAACATACATCTGGAGTCTCCGAATTCAAAAATTAGTCCTCTTAAAATTCAGGTAAATTGATAAACACTACATATCAAAAGTCTTCAGCGTATAAGCTTCTGACTCTCCGAATTTTTGTATTTTGAGGTTTCTTAAAGTCCTAATTAAACCTTTTGGTCCGTCTCCAGGTCGTAACTGACACCACTCCATTCTCCGGCAAATACGTGGGTGTAAATGCTATCGGATTAGCAGGAAGTTTTGGTCATGCTCTCTTGCGAAAAAACTCCAAGTAAGCCTAACTTCCTCTGAGATACTAATTACCTGTATAACTGTGTAACGATATTTTTTCTGTCCTCCTTTTCTCTCTTCGCATGGCTTCGTAAAATCAAAACGTTTCTATAATTCTATCTGTACTTTCCTCGTTTTCACAGAATTCAACACGCGGGAAGGAAAACCCATCGAAAAGATCTGGTTGCATGACCCTGCGTGGTAAATGAACTTTCTTATCATTACATGTGATTATTTCGATTTTGACTCAGTATAGATTATCATCGCAAAAAAAGCTGGAATTATTCATTTTAACATGAGGTTCATTTCTTGAATCACATTCAGCCATCACGTTTAAAGGCGAACTACTTGCGGTTTTTATTAATTTCAGAGAATCGTCAACAATGAGTGTAGCCGAGTCCTTCCCGCAAATTTTATTGCTGTCGTCCCGCACCGAGGAAGACATGTCTCGAATTTTGGAGAAAGCCAAAACATCTAAGAACACTCCTGAGTTTGCAGCGCTCTTAAACGGAGTCTTCGAAAATGAGTTGAAAGGTCATATGTACAGAGGATATATAATCAAGCAATCTGATGGGACAGTTTCTCCACCCAAAAGTCAGGTAAATTTTATTGATGTATTACATCAATAAAAAATCATCAATAAAATTTCACAAGGAAAACAGACAAGATTATATTTTAATCAACCATGACTTACTTTGGCAAACATTTCTAATGGAAGGAACATTATTTAAGCTATCTGAGAGAGGTACGTGATATAAAACATGAAATTTACAGACATTTCTGCCAGGGGAACAGACATTTCTGCTCCTATACCAACTAACCCATCTATAAGGGGGTATGAGTCTGACTATGACGTTCCAAAAAAGAAGTTATCCTGTTAAAATGCAGTTAAGTAGCGAATTTATGAAAAATGAATTGTTTTAAAAAAATGGTAAAAACTTCCAAATGATTACAGCAAATCGATGGTAGTAAACGGCCAATCTGGTGGGTGTTCTCAGGAATGGGTTCCCAATGGAATGCTATGGGTTCCTATCTAATACACATTCCCATATTCTATGATGTCATCGACAGATGTGACAGAGTTCTAGCCCCGCATGGAGTAGATATCAAGCATATCCTGACTTCTACCGATGAAAGAATCTTCGATAATATCCTCCACTCTTTCGTTGGCATCACTGCTGTTCAGGTAATGTGACCTCTTTGTGATAACGAACCGTAATAAGACATCTAATGGGCCGAATCCAGCATAGAGATGCAAAGTCACATCAAAATTTATTCGACAAAAATAGGTTTGAAGCTATGTACATCCATGCCGCGGCATGCCGAATCATAGCTGCCGGAACCACATATTTTGGCTCCATCGGCCGAGCTTTTAGAGGTTCGGATATTACCAATAAATTGTTGACAGTTTTAAGTATGCATAATTAAAAACGATCCACATCGATGGTTAAATTGTGTTTGCGTGTTTGCAATTCCTTTGTGAATTTCAATAACAAACTTACTGACATCTCACCTTTTTTTTCTTTTTAAAAGAAAAAAAAAGTGTCAAATATTACCTTGCCTCTTCTCTATACTTTGGACTTATTATAAGTAATATGTTATTTCTGAAATTTTTATTTTATTTATTCAAACCTGATCACTTAAACACCGGTTAACATGGTTAACACGGTTTTATTCTACCCTGATTTTTAAATCCAAACCTATGCATATGTAAATGCGCATCCACATCTCATCCTAATTCTGCCGCCAATGACGATTTGGTAGCCATTGCTCCTGCGGCAGTGGCCAACCACCATCCAGTGGGAGCAGTGTGCCCTACGCTCATCCCTCATTGGCTACCGCACCTACACCCCCTTGCCCGCCGCATCTTCATCAACAGCGCCCTCCTGCACTTTGGCGGTTCGCTCTCGTCTCATCCGGCGCGCGGCAGCCAACCACCATCCAATGGGAGCAGTGTGCCTCACGATCATTTTTCATTGGCTCCCGCACCCATACCCCCTTACCGGCCGCAGCTTTATTACCAGCGCTACCTTGTGGTGACTCAAGCTCCTACACTTCACGATTCGCTTCTCTCATCCAGCGGTAGCCAACCACCATCCAAGGGGAGCACAGACAAATAAAGACCCTCCATTGATATCTTGGCAATGGTGGCAAACGTTTACTTTCATTACTCCACACTGGAAAAATAAACACATTGGATCTAGAGTCCAGACTCTTGAAAACATCGACAAGAAAAAGGACTCTTGATTCTAGTAGATTTAAGCTTAAATCAAAAGGAAATCTGCTCAAATTAAGAGGCTTGGTTCTTGATTTAAGCTTAAATCTGATTGGATCAAGAGTATTTTTTCTTGTCGATGTTTTTAAGAGTCTGGACTCTAGATCCAATATGTTTTTTTTTTTTTTTTTTTTTTTTTTTTTTTTTTTCAGTGCAACATTCAACTGTTAACTCACCTACTAGGTGGATGTTGGACAACGTGTTGGGTATTTAGTTTCGCAAACAAATCGAAGTTTAGCAAACTTGCATGGCTCATCCCGTCACTCGAAGCTCATCATCCACCCAGTAAGTAGGTCTACAGCCGAAAAAAAGATGATGCCTTGTTGCTCCCTCAAAGTTATGAGGGAGTGTTGAACTCCAGAAAGGCAAAATTTTCAACTGTCGCCAATACTGCTGTGCTTTACGAGAACGCTGTAAATCCATTGAGATTATCCCTCGTTATTTTGAAACTTAACACTTTCTAAAATAAAAACTGTTTTACCCACGCGCCTTAAATTTTCAGCATTCTTGATAGCGTTCGTGATAGCACTTGCGAAAGAATTCTGTAAAAACATTGTCCCAATTTACACAAGTTTTTCTGCTATGATACATTGATTCCAAAAAAAGTAAAATGGCGTTTACGGCGTTTTTGCGTTGAACCGCAGATTAGGCCAGTACAGAGTTTCCCTTTGCCTCTTTGTGGGAGCAGTGCTCCTCATGTCCATCTCTCGTGGCTGCCACCACACCTCTTCCGATGCATAAATACTTTCATTTTGTAAAAAAATAACTCACAGCTTTGATTTCAGATAGGCTTGGTTGAAATTCTCAGAGCTCTAGGATTGGAGCCGGACTTTATTTTAGGTCATTCGGTTGGAGAGCTTGGATGTGCTTATGCAGACAACTGCATGACTCTTGAGCAAACGATTTTAGCTGCGCACGCAAGAGGAAGAGCCTCCTTGGAGACGAATCTCATTCAAGGAATGATGGCCGCCATAGGTTGGTACCAAAATGAGCTTTTGCTACACTGCTGCTGCTGCTGCTGCTGAAACAGAGGCGCAATCAAACATAACATTTTGCAATTTAGGATTATAATGGGAACTGCAAAGCAGAATGGGATGTGTGAACTGTGACGCACTGAACACGCACTGTGTTTGGCACAATGCGTGAAGTATTCCCACAGTCTTGTAGGCGCTTTGCGTTTCACGCCAACCGCTCCTGACCGCACTGTGTTCGGCGCAATGGTTGAAGTATTCTTGCAGTCTTGTAGGCGCTAATATGTGTTACATGCCGACCACCGCACCAAGGGGCTGTACTTTTCATCTCAAGTCCTCGTCATCATTCCTCTCTGCGCTGAGCTCCAGGCTAAATTGCGTGTTTAGTTCCTCTCTTAACTCGACTAATTAAAGATGCTGTCTCTTGTATCACCGAAAAACGACTAAATTAGAAATTACTATACTCTCAGGAGAGAGAGATTTTGTCCCCTTTTCTCATTGATAATTTTTTTTTGCTGAATCCGATTTTTTTATACCTACATTCAAAAAAATTGCAAAATTTTCCGCCATGGGCCGCGACCCATGTGGCCATCCATCCCATAATCCGGCCCTGTGGGTATACGCTAAACTATTTTGAAGAGAAGGAAAGTTAGAAAAGCAGAAACATTAAAATTTTGCAGCTTCGAATTGAAATCCTTTCTACGTGCATGATTATTTTGATGAACCTCTTTTTTCAGTTTCACCATTTCTGGTGCACCTATTGGAGCAAAACACTAGGCTTTCTTCTTTTCATTCCACGATAATTACGTGTTAGACATTGATTTGAAACTTCAATTTTAATGTTCTGTTTTCATGAGGCGGTAACCAAACCGCTTTAATTTGGTGAGTCCTTTTTTCATCCTTCCAAAATTAAGAATATCCCGGTTTAACTAACGTAATCTCCTGTGTGGACTTTGTCGAAAGGTTTGGGATCCCATGACATCGTTGGCAAGATACCAAAGACGATCGACGTGGCTTGTCACAACTCCTCAACAAGCTGCACCATCTCCGGCCCGACGGCAGACGTGGAACAATTTGTCGGAGATCTGAAAGCCGGTGGAGTGTTCGCGAAAAGCGTGAATGTGGCCAACATTGCCTACCACTCGCGGTACATACAGCCAGCAGCTCCAGTATTACTCAAATATTTGAGGGAGGTGAGTTTTGACTTGCCACAGTCAGGCTCGCTACATCCCATCTCGGGCCCTGGTACCAGTTTTAAGGTCCAGGCGCAAAGCACGGAGGGGGGGGGGGGGGGC